GGGAACTGGGGGTGTTCAGCCTGGAGAAAAGGAGGCTGATGGGGAGAACTTCTCAGTCTGCAGCTCCCTGAAAGGAGCTTGGAACCTGTGGGGGTTGGTCTCTTCTCCCAAATAACAAACTGTAGAACCAGAGAAAATGACCTCCAGTTGCGCCAGGGGAAGTTTAGATTGAATATTGGGAACAATTTCTTCCCCAAAATGGTTGTTAGGTCCTGGCACAGGTTGCCTAAGGCAGTGGTAGAGTTCCCATCCCTGGAGAGATTTAAGAGCTGTGTAGATGCGGTGCTAAGGGACATAGTTTAGTGGTGGCCCTGGCAGTGCTGGGTTAACCTTGATCTCAAAGGTCTTTTCCAACCAAAACAATTCCAGGATTCTATGGCCAAGACAGCACAGGGAGATGACCAGGAACATGCAGCTCCATCACCTGCCTTCTTCTGCTGGTCCGCTGTGCTGGTGGATGGCATGGGACAGGGGATGAGGCTCCAAAAGGGGGACGATGCAGGGGGAGCACCCTGGGACACCGCAGCATAGCACAGGGGTGGGCACTAGGGCATCCTTGGAGCAGAAGCTGCTGGAGGACAAACCCTGGTGCTGAGGAGAAGGACCCGGAGGGCTGAGCTGTGCCGTGCCAGCCGACATCTTGGCCAGCAGCCCACAGTGCCTTGGGACATCTTGTCCCCCAGCTGCCACCGTGAGGGTGTGCCTTTATCAGCTGAGGCTGGGGCTCCCCTGTGGGGCCACTGAGGCCACCACCACCAGGGCAGGCTGCAGGGGATGGCCCCGCTGCCAACCTTCAGGGATCCAGCTCCATCCCTTCCGGCCTCGGTGGGGCTCATTAGCCCTATTCCTCCTTCTCACTGCTGACGAGGTCATGTGTGGATGATAAATGTTCTCCTGGTTTTCAGGGTGACCCTGCGTTCTGTGATGGATGCTGCTCTGTCTGCTGGCACCTCTTTGCCACTGATGGGAACTGGGGAGGTGTTGAGGCTGCAATGTCTCTCGATGGATGAATGGCAAAACTGGTTCAGAGACAGATGGAAAGGTGGCCCTACTCCCAAAATCTTGCTCCAGGGTTGTAAACCATCCCTTGCAGGAGATGCCAGGGCAGAAATCCCCTTTTCCAGCTCCAAAAGCAGAACAGCATGTGGCTAATGTGATGGCCCAAAGTGCTGATCCTGCCTATTGCTGGAGCATCCCTGCCGCTCTCCTGCTCCGTTGGCTGCCTTTCCATTCCCATTGTGCCACACCAATGGGATGGGAAGGAAAAGGGACCAAGCTCTTCCCCAGGGATCCGGGAGTCTCCTGAGGCTTTGCTTCTCTCTGGTGCATCTCATGGAGCATCCCAGGAGCTCCTAGTGCTGTAGCAGAGCAAGGGGTGGTCTCTCGCAGAGGGCCGTCGGGGGGGCACGGGGCCAGCAGGCAGGTGCTGTGTCTATTTTCTCCTTGTTCGTTTTGGTTTCTGTGTGGGTGGCTCATGTGAGCAGAAAGGTGATGGAGAATGCACCGCATGAGAACAGCCCGTCCCTGCAGATACCTCAATTTAAGCCTCACAATTTTAGTGCCTTTGCAGGGCCTGAATGTGCCAGCATTTTTTTTTGAGAGCCACCAGCTTCACCCCCGTTTTCTTCGAGCACATTTTTCCTCTATGAATCACAGCACCAGTCTCCTGGAACAAATACGTTTCAACTCTATCCTCGTTTCTATTGTTGTGAACCATCTAAGAGGTATTTGCACTGAAGCCACATCCCCAGGGTCATCTCATTTTTAGCATTTGTTGGTGGATACAAATGAAAACAGGTGGAGTTTGCAGACCCTCCTCTCTCTTGGTTCACACAGCATCCACCCCTCAGCCCCTCGGGAATGAAGGGTCAGGAATG